AAAATAAATTTCTGATAAAATTGAGTTTTTAACTATTGAAATTGCCTCTTCATGTATTATTAAAAAGGGGGTTACTATTGTTGTTATCCTTTTTTCTACATAATTTCCGTTCCATGTTGGTTCGGAAGATAAAAATTAAGTGCGAAAAAATTTTTTCATTGCATTTTTGGTGAAATTTTTCTAGTGTTTTCCAAGCGGCATTTCCTAAACTCCTTATGTCTTGCTGCTAAAGCATCTCCGGAGTGCACATTACCCCGTTTTTTTACACAGGTGGAAGTAAATAAAAGCTTGTAAATAGGCTATTTCAACACACATTCCGTTAAAAAGTACATAGCGCGAAAATACTATATTTTTCTAATTGACATATTAAGTCTTAACTAGAATAACATTTTGTAATCCTTTCCCAAAGTGAGATCTTTGATTTAGATTTTTTTCAAAATATCGTTTTTGAAAGTAACAGTTATTGATTAAAAATAAAACATAGATTTAAAAAACTGCATTGCTATCGTTAAAGGAAGGTTCCATAATTTGTGTAGACTAAATTTTAGACAATTTAGTTCAAAGTTAAGCTTCAAAACAAAACTATTTTTGCTGATATCGCCTTAAAAAACGGGTCGGCTTCAGAGAGTTGGGAAACAATTAAGGACATTTTTTGGGGAAAAGATTAGTTATCTTTATTTATATCATACAAATACAAAAAATAGGATGAATGGTAAGGAGTATACTGTCATATCTAAGACAAAGGACGGGAATGCTTTTGGTCAAGGGCCATCCAGATTGTTGCCCTCTGTTTGACAAAAATGCTCGAAAATAAATTTTTAATTCATTCTGAAAGATGTCATGGGTCCAAGGAAGCTACAGACATCCGATAGTTATATAGATATTATATACTATCCCTTTCTTTTTTTCTTGTTTAGTTAATAACTCCAAAGAAACTACTACCTTGCCTTGATATGGAAACAAAATAATATATTATATTGGATATTACATGTATTCAAATAGCCCTAACTGAAACATTTATTTCATAAGTTCGCATTCACAAAGGCTCTAGCTGACAGAAATTCTACATTATTAATAAAAAAATTAAAGTGGTTTTAAATTATGTTAGGTATTAATATTTAACATAAATTCCATCAATAATTTTCAATAAAAATTTTATTATATTTGATATATGTACATATATATACGTTTTTTGGGTCTCCTGAAAAAAAAAAATAAAAATAAGTTCTGTATGTTAGGGCCAAAATATATTTAACCATGGTGAAATTATACCAGATGTAGGGATAAAAGAGCTTTCTCGCTTTATTTTCTTAGTTTTCTTGACATTCGGCTATCTTATAGAAATTTTCTCAAACAAATTTTCAAATAAGATAGACGCCAATCTTTTTTCTCGCCCGTATTACTACACCTGGTATAATTTCACTATGGTATTTAACAAAGTGTGATTGAATTCGACATTGCTCTCATAAGAACCATCCTATAAAGTCAAATTGAAAAAATTTTTTTATGAATTTTGAATCGTTTGTTAATATTTTTGACACTTTAGTACCATAAAAGAGAGCCGCACTGAGTTTCAAATCACATTTTGTTTAATACACCTTGGTTATGGCCTTTCTACATTTCATCAACGATATGTACCTATATGTGTATGTATGTATGTTTCCTCAGAAAATGTTATCAAAAGTTGAAGCAAGATTTTTGTCAAAACTATTTTTTCAGCTGACATCATTCTACATTAATGTGTGTACTTAAGTGTCTTGCAATTACTCACTGCATTTGAAATCGTTAACATGCATACATACGTCGGTACTCGTACAATAAACATATGTATGTATACATAGAACCTATATATATAGAAATTAATGAAAATACACATACATATGCCTAGGAGTGATTGAAGTTTATTACGAGCCGTCTACAAACCCACCTGTTAAACCTTCGATTTTTCATTTATTTTTTTAAAGGGTGGTTCAAAAAGTGTTTTTTTTTGCAATTTGCCAATCTTTACTGATAGTTATAGAATTACTTTCAGAAGCTGTAACTCTAAGCTGCTGACGTGCTTGCATCACCACATTTCAGTTAACCCCGAATACTAGGGTACTCGATTATTCGTCTTTTTTCCAGAACCGGCTTTCGGGTTATGTTATTCGAAAAATTGCAATTTGAAAAAAAACGGTTGCTGATTTTGAAATTAAGAAAAAACCGGATAAACTGATTTTAGTTTACATAGAGGTTGTTCACACTTGCCTGGTTATCTGGTTAAAGATTATTATTCTGTTGTGTATTTTATTGATGTAAACCGAATACAAAATTTAACCGCATAAGCAAAAGCCTTATATCAAAATTAAAACAAATAAAAATCAGAAAAAACTCGTTTGGTAATTTTTTAATACCTTATTACATTTTTTCTGACTTTTATCGGTTTTGAGTAGTGCTCTTACCCCTGTAGCCGAGTGCTTAGAGGTGCCTAGCAGCAACATCAACAGGAAGTTTTTTTTCCAGCAGCTGTCGCCCCTCGGCAGACAATGGCAGCCCTCCGAGTGTACTTCTGCCATAAAAAGCAGAACACGAATGCGAAGAGAAGCTCGGAATCAAATATGATATACTCCAAATAACCTAGGATATAATTTTGAAACTATTTAGGGACTTGAAATGCAGAATTTCATAAAATTTAAAAGTTTTATTCAGAGGTCAAGATTTTGATGAAATGAAAAACCGGTTTGTTCAATCAAAAATCCGGTTTATTTGATATTCGAAAAAAACAAGACTTCTTCAAAAAAGCCGCCTATAGATTTAAAAAAACCGAGCCAGTCAAACGACTAAATACCCCAAATGTAAATCTTTAAATTGATATTTGTTAATTTGACATTTGAAATTTTTTCTCAAAATACCTTTTTTGATATTAAATCCTAATAGGCCCCAAAGACGGTGCGTTTGACAGACGTCTTTTTTCACTGTCCCGAAAATATTTCACAAGTGATTTAAAAAAAGTAGATTTCTCTGAACCAGTCTAATTTAAGAAAAACGCTTATAAGAACGCAACCACTCTACACTGAAGTTTCCTTTTTTTAAATTTTTTTTTCGAATACTTATTAACTAAATGTATTTCATCAAAATTTACCGTATGCATAAATGTGTGCAATATAAGAAATCTTTTTCATTTGTCCGTAGTCTTCTTAAAAGAAAAAAAAAAATGCACATAAAAGAGGTTTAAGTACTGTTTGTATGAATAATAGAAGGCGAATCTAAATGAGATTTTTATTGAAACACCCTGTGCCATCACTCTTTTGTTTATGACTGCATGTGATGTTTTCAACATTCAGAGAGGAAAAGAAGATTGGCCTACTCATATTATAAATAAATGATCAAAACTTTTTTAAGATTTATTAATTCATGACACCAAGAAAGCGAGAAATTTGATTTTCTCTCCTGCCTTTTGAGGAAGTAAATACTGTACATATCGTCACCTGAAACGCAAAAAGACGTAACTAATATTTTTTTTTTTAACGATGTAATCAAAAGGTGAATTTTGAATTTTTTATAAGTTACGACTTTTTACATTTCAGGTGACGATATACCGAAAATGAAGTGCCATCTCGGGCACTAGTCTTATTCGTTCGTTTTGGAAAGAAGAACATTTTCATCCTTTAATCTTAGCATTTTGAATTATCCTAAATTATTAAAATTAAAAAATTGTAAAATTTAAAAAATTCAAAATAGCTGCGACAGATATTCTCTCTCTCTGCACTCTTTAAACTTCACAGATATGTTGTATTTGATGCCTAAAACATGAATATTCCATTTGAAAACTTACCAAAGTTATTAAAAAAAAAAAACAATTATGATTTTTTCGAGTGACAATAAAAATAGAGTAATTTCGGTACCTTTTCGCCTAAATAAACATTTTAAGGGTAAAATTGTTCAAATACGCGATATATTTTTTATTGTACTTATTTCTGGAACTTTATTGATTGAAATAATTGCAAGAAGAATGCTTTAGCTTTTTTTTGCCGAGCGAAGGGAGTGACACTAAAACAAAAACAACTCGTGGGATTTTTGCTCATATGCAGTAAAAGATGATTTACTTTAAAATTATGGGCACATTTCATTCATATGAAACGGCTTTTTCGCATTGCTTAGTCGAATGATTTGTATGCTGAACCAAAATGGCGCTCTGTTGTGGTACTTGTGAGAACTTTTAGAGCCGCTCTGCAAACGCCCATGGAATCGAACGAAAAAAACTTCACTGTATGCTAACACGATCACCTGAGTAAGCGAGTGTTATTCTCAATAACATTTTGAAATGAAACTTTATCACAACCACAAGACTTTCCACCACTGGCGTAGACCACTTAGGTGTGTTAGTGCAAATATGACGATCGTCGATGTATTCGCAGATACGTAAGTATGAAGCTGAAGATTGCTTTTCGCTGTTTTAGCATGTCGGTTAAGGACAGATGAACCAACCGCCGCACCAACAACCAGCACTCTGATAGCCAGCTTACGAGCTCATTTAATAGCTTGAATCTTGGTAGGGCTGGGTCGTTAATACATACATACATACATACATACATATATGTATATGTACGCATCTATGCATCCACTTGTGAGTTGTAAGCTGTGAGTGCGACTCAAAAGTGGTTGAGCAACTGGACAATGCCACTGTGAGAGTACTGAACGTCATCGTTCCAATGGAAATGGAAGGTGGCTCATCGCTTACTCAGTTTATCGACTTGCTTGCTGGCACTCGTTGAAGTGACGGCGTTGGCAGCTGCTCCTCCGCCCCGATACGGTACGGCATTAACTTGTCTATGCCTATACTTTTGCAGACTTTTCTTTTCTTGTTTTTTTTTGTTTTTTTTTGTTGAACGAATGTGTACATGAGAGTGTTGCGTCGTCGCCTGTTGAATGACTGACGTGCGTGCGGCGTTCCACACACGCTCTCTGGTGGGGGAGCACTCGCTTCCATGTAATTTTTCGAATCATCATCATCATTTTGCATTTGACTTTCGAATCGAGCAGTTTATATTGTAGATCGAGTTTTGTGTTCACGTTCTCGTTATTTGCGTTCGTCGCCGTTTTTCCACACAGTGCAATACTTTCCTTACATTGCTGTGGTGTTGTGCCTATGTATTTTATTTGTATGTGAGTGTTTATGTTCAATTTTGTGTTTCTATAACTCCGAATATTGTTGAAAAATCAACTGTGTGCAAAGATATACATAAAGATATTTGCATGAAATGCGATTACGGCCACTTTTTTACAACGCGACTTACATATATATATTTGGCAAGTGCAAAAATTTGAATATTTATTTGTGTCGTTCGTTATTTTGAATTTTTGCATTTTGCTTTGTGCGATTCTTTCGTCGAAAGTTGTCGCGTGACGCGTCGTTGCAGTCACTTGTTGAGAAAGTGAAAGAAGACAGGAAGCAGCTAGCAGCCAGCGGGGGGGCTGGTGCGGGTGACTGGCTGCCAGATAAGTTGGCTGGCGAGCAAAACCACCTCGGCTGGTGGTGTTGCGCCATGAACAGCGGCAGTGGCACAACGTTACTCCTGTGCCTAGCGTGCGCTTCAAAGTATCTACCCACTGCTCGCTGGCAACTATACAAACCACGGAGATCTTTGCACGCTCAGCTCTGCGGGTTCAAGATCTCAGCTTTTTTAAGTTTGTAATTTTTCTACTTTATGAATTGCAATTAACGCATATTTGCAAATTTAGTTAAACTTTTTTTCCAAAGCATTGTTTGATTTTTTTTTATTTTTTTTTTACATACATAAATAGTATTGGCTAAGTGCCTGTGAGAGTTTGAATGAATATCTAGCTGCTCGGTAAACATATAGTGGTCGTTAAGCGCTAATTAATTGTAAATATGCACTTCCATGCGCGTAGAAAATCGGCAGTTGCTAAGCTCAACCGGAACTGACACTTCAACGCGACCGCGGAGAGAGCGAATTAGTGCTGTGTTGCATTGAAAGTCACGACGCGATGCGGTGAAGTTCGGTTTATTGTGACGCGTGGTGGCCATAGTGGTGTTTTGCTGTGAATTTTTTCAAAACGCGAAAATGCTCACATTTGCAGCAATGTGAATGAAAATTTAAATTACTTTTTTTTCTTTTGAAATTATTTAGCGCTTTTAAAAATTGTATAAAACTCCGTTGAAAGTTTCTGTGATATTTAGAGAAAACCAATAAGAAGGGTCACTTAATTCGCATTCCTCCAGGCCATTTGAACTGTCTGTAAGTAAGTTATCGCTTCAGTTGTGTGTATAGAAATTTTACCTAATTTTTATCACCGAAAATTATTGTTGCTATTTTTGATAACATATTTATGTATGTATGTGTGTATGTTTGTATTTAATGATGATTTCCAACAACCGCATGAAGTAAGAACCTGAAAGCGGCGACGCAAAGTTGCCTATTGTTAAGTTGTGTCGCGACAAATATCGTATCTGGGTAATTATCACGTTTTTTTGAATTTAGTGGGGAGGTGCGGTTGTTGTTCTTGTTATGTATGCATGTGCATTAGGGTGGTCCTTAAAAAATCAAATGAACGATTTTTTCCAGCCACACCCCCTCAATCGGTAAAGTGTGTCGCAAAGGGGCCAAAGGCCTAAAGGGATACCTTTACGGAGACTCAAAAAATTAAAAATATTTTTTTCGATACTACTAAAGTGGAAGATACACATATAAGATTTGGCCTTAACCGACTCCAATCTGGGCCAAAATTTATATGTGATATCTTCGACTAAAGAAGGATCGATTTTGGGTGTCAGATGAAAAAAAAAATAATTTAATTTTTGTGAGTCTCCATAGAGGAATCTGAACTTTGCCCCCTGTGCGTCACGCCTTAACGGTCTCCAATCGTGGTCCAAATTTATTCGTTATGTCTTCGACTATAGTATAATCGACGTAGGGGTTGGGGCCTAGGAAATCTGATATGTATAACAATTTGCTGCCTATATCTAAGGACCACCCTAATGTACATACATACATATGTATTTATCTCAGCGATGTTTCAAAACCGAAAAATAGTTCACGGCTTAATGCTAAATTTTTTTGGCAACTTTAGCGCTCTCGAATTTCAATGAATTTCTCAACATTTGTGCGCTTCAGTTCGGCAACTTCTTTTTTTCTTACTGGGCTTCTGTTCAATGAACCCTGCATGTTTGTAAATTTGCCATTATATTTCACAGCCAATTCTTGTCAACTTTTAGTCTGTTGCAATAGCAGTCCGGTTTACATGATTTAGTCTGCAGATTTTTTAAGATTTAAGATTTTTTAAACTTAATCTGTTTTGACATCTGAAGGGTTTAAAAAAAAAAAAAAAAAAATCTTTAAGAAACTCTTTTCATTCATAAAAACTCCATTTTTGGAGGTATTTTCAAATCGGTCCAACTCCCGCAAAGCTTAATATTTTTCGGAAATATTTTGGTGGAAGTCTTCAAATGTGTATAATAAAATTTGCAATCCCGGCGGAAATTAATTCCAATCTTAATTTCTGTGGCCATAAGCAATAACCGCCTAAGTCGAAAAACCTGAAAGTCGACTTAGGCGGTTATTGCTTATGACCACAGATTTATCCCTTTAAAATCCTTTATTTATTAAAAAAAAATTATTTAAAGAAGAGCAAACGAAGGGAAAAGCTGAAAGGTTCTCTCTACCAACAGCCTCTCATATGTCGATTTTCTCCACAAACGCTGAGATTGCAGTCATAATTTCTGAAAAATTTTATTGCGCTTATTTAGTTTTGCATTACATTTACAATTGGCTATTGGCGGGCGCCTAGTAGCTCGCGATCTACCGGTTGGACACCACTAATACGTTGGACTACTACATACATATGTACATACTTCAAATTTATTTATCTATACAAATGTATGCCAGTATGTACATGATGACATATACAAACATATATATGTATGTACTTGTACATTAGACCGTACCACCACAAGCAAACAAAAAAAGTAAATCGCCGTAACCACTAAGTCTTATGGCGTTTTCGTTTCTACGAAAGACGAGTCCTGGTGAAAGCAACATCGCAAAAAATGTAGAAAAAAGGTTTTTTTCTTAACAGTGGTCGTCCATCGGCAGGCAATGGCAGACTTCCGAGTGGATTCCTTGCCATGAAAAACAGCTTCTCATAAAAATACAATCGCCGTTCGGAGTCGGCGTAAAACTGTAGGTCCCTCCAGTTTGTGTGACATCAAGGCTTACGCCACAAATCGGAGGAGAAGCTCGGCCAAACACTAACATATCGAGCCTCAACCGCCAAAATAACGTAAGCTACATTTTTTTCAAAATTTTATTTTTGATGCAGAAATATTCCTAGAGCATCTAGACGCATTTCTGCATCAAAAAGAAAATTTTGAAAAAAAATGTCGCTTACGTTATTTTGGCGGTTAGGGCTCGATATGTGTAAGCGCCAATCTGTTATTATTATTATTCAGGTGGTACGTTAGAGAGATAAATAGGTTAGGGTGACATCTGGTAGGAAGTACTAGAACGTCGTACTTGAGGTCAAAGAACTTTTGAATTGTCTCATCGGGATAAGAGCATCGATATATCATACTTTAAGATCCGACTGTAAATGACGAAGATATGACGAAAAAGGTTAAAAGGTGACCCCTACGTTCGGCAAAAAAATTGTTTTTTTTTTTTCGAAACTGCCTTGAAAAAATACTTTAGATTCACTTTTTTCCGGAACGGTCTAATGTTTATACATAGTAGTAGTGAGACATGCACCCACCACAATATCGGCGGCAGTGCCATTGATATGCTCACCATATCGCATATCTCTAGTAGTGGCGCTATTTCCTGCTATCTTAAATTCATTGTTATCGTCGCAAAGGCTTTACTCTTTTTTTTTATTTTTTTTTTGTAGTTACTGCATTATAACTGCCTTTATTTATAACGTCAACACCGCTACCATTAACGCTACTACCACTACACTAGCACAGCTAAACACTTGGAATTGGCACAAGCAAGTGTTGTCTCTTAATTTAGTATATGAAATTTTGCTATTCAGTCAGCGGAAAACTTGCTTACGTGTATGATAGACGCTTGCTCGATCGCTTACTTAAGTCGTTTAGTTGTTCGGTGTTTTGTCGAAGGTGTTACTGTTCTGATTTCGTGCTGGTACCGGCGGTGGAGTTCACCTTTTCTTCAACTTATAACGGCTTTAAGCAGTAAGCACGCGAATTTTGACTGTATGTGGTTGGTAGAACGTTCAAAAGGTTTTAATTAATTGTAAGTATGTATGCAAAAAGATTGTGTTTATGTGGTCAGACACTCAGGTGATCAGTGGTGGGTTTGTTTAAGATGAGCGATCTATAACACCTTTGACTGCTTGGTTTTTGATACTCATTCATTCATTTCGTAAATGATGGATTGTAATTCGTGTGCTGTGCTTTTAAATTACGAATAATGTTCTTTTGCCAATCGTTTAAGTTTCGTATTCACCCTTAGTTTGGACAAAATTAAATTCAGCTGTGATAATGAACTTCTTATAGCTGTAGGCTTACAGTGTGGCAAAGTTTCACGGGAATATGGTTTTACATTACTGTTTATTAAAACACGACACACTTTTTTAAGTTCTTGTTGGGCAAGAAAAACCACATTGTGAATAAGAACATAAAATAGTTAATGTGCCATATATGTATATTTAATCATACTACTCCCTGCAATGCTATGTAGATGTACTCATACATAAGTATGTATGTATGTATATAGCATCACCTGAAGTGCAAAAAGACGTAACAAACATCGTCGCTGAAATGCAAAAAGTCGTAACTTATAAAAAATTCAAAATTCACGTTTTCCTTGATATGATGGATTTCATCGAACAACTCCCCACATATATATATATTTTTTTTTTATAAATGTCTAGCTCATTATATAACAAACGCTATATGAATGCACATTTAAAAATTCAAAATTCACTTTTTCCTTTGATATGATGGATTTCATCGAATTACAACTCCCCACATATATATATTATTTTTTTTTATAAATGTCTAGCTCATTATATAACAAACGCTATATGAATGCACATTTAAAACTTTGTACAAAAATGATAAAAATTCAACAAAATATCCAACTTTTTACTCAAGATTTTTACAAAAGGTATGCAGTTTTATTGCCCATTAAATTCTAGTGCACAGAGAAAAGAGTCAGCTAAATTATTTCACTCAACACAAGATTGGGTAACTGTATGGCGGTCAAAACTGGATGAATGGCGTTTTTTACAAGCTTTTCTTTAATATTTACAATGCTTTTCAAGCTAATTTTTTTATTACCATTATTATTATTATTGCCTTAACCAAAACCACATATACATAAATCAAATTTTACACAGAATTTAGAAAAAATAAAAAAATTTTTATCGAAATTTCGAACTTTTTAATCGTACTTCTTTATTAAACCTGGCGTTGATTTTTTAATTTTATTTTTTTTTTGCAACCGGTCTTGCGCATTTTCTTCCACAAGAAAGTCATGTTTGTTTATATGGAAAAAAATTTGCAGAAAAATCATCAAAAATCAATGCGGTTTTTAGCCGCTTAAAACTTGCGCCAATTGTACTAAAATTATATAAGCCCACTAATTGTATACACAAAAAAAATTTCGAAAAATTCAGGTTTAATTTTTTTATTAAATTCTGCATAAAGTTTGAAAGTTTGTTTTACATGGCTTTGGTTAATGCACGAAGAAAACTATTAAAAAAATATATATACATATATATAAAAATAAAAAAAAAATTAAATTAAAAAAAACAGGCCTGTGCCCATCTCTAAATGTAACTATAACCAAATCATGTGTTCAAAGAAACATATTTAGCTGACGTAACTAAACTCTCATTGTCTCGTTTATATTATTTTTTTCCACCAAAGTATGTACATAAATATGTACTTGCATACATACATACATCTGTTGTAAGTACAAACTTATTCTATTTATACATATTTACTCATGAGTGCTTGTAAGTTGTACGCGCTTGTAGACGCGCGGTTTTCATCACTTCGAATCAACTAAGCTGTCGCCAGACTGGTTGTAAGCTCAGTATTATACTCGATGAACCAGTAAACAGCAAAATTCTGACCTAATCGCTCAAATATTGTACTAACTCCTTATTTTTGTAATTCGTTTATCAAATTGCAAGTCCAGGGTCAAATTGTTCTAATAAATGTTGTCGTCATTTAAGCTTCCGGGTCTGGGCTTGTACATTCTATGTACAAACATACATACATATATGAGGGGTGGTTACAGTCTTTTTAGTAAATGAGCTTCAATGAGTCGCTTCAAAATTTATAAATTATTGGGAGTATCAAATATGATTATCTCTAAGAAGGCAACATTTATTCACTTTATTATAGTTTTGGTTTTAATTTAGTTAATTTCGAAATCTATGCAGCGTATATGACAGAATCAGATCTAAGCAACACTAATATTTGTCACAAGTATTTTACCCGTTTGTTATTTTGCCCCAAAACAAGTTTATATCTTCGAATTGTTTTTTTTTGCAATATGTTTTTATTTGTTTTTGTTTAGATTCTGGACAAACCTGACAGTTTTGCAAATGTGTTAAAAAATCTTCTTCACCTTTATGAACTTTTCTTCGAGAGTCTGCTGTGTTTGACTGCAATTGTTCGCCTGACAACTGGTTTTACGCAATTCATGCACCGCCTTTCACTGGAACTTCCTGTTTGTTGCCAATTTGACCCACTAACTTAAGAATACATATGTACATATGTGTATGTATGTACACGTTTTACGACTTTTCCCCACTTCTATCAGTAGCTGGCGAGTGAAGAGCATTTAGCAACGTAATGGGCGTAGCGGCTACGTAAAAGTTTTTATTTTACGAAATTTTATTAAGGCAGTAATAGTGTTGTCGTCGGCTTAGGGAACAAAAGTCAGATATCTACATTAATTTCTACTTGAAAACATTTAAATTTATGCGCACGTGATTTAAATATATTTCTATTTGTTTTTTTTACGTCTCTAGTGATGGTGGAATTTTAGAACAATTTCATATCTTTTTTTGGAAAAATATTATTTTTATCTGGCTGCTTTTTTTTTGCCATCGAAGATCGAAGTTTTATAAGCTTACACATTTAATGCGTAACAAATTTCCCTAGGTTGGAGAAAATGTAGGGTTGTTACATGTGAATATGGGGAAATGAGTAATTGTGTAAGCATAGAACTTTAGAATGTATGTATCGCTCTTCTACATACATACATACATACCTTAATTTTTTTTGGAACCATATTGCCGGGTTTTGCCATATTATCTCGTCTATATTCTTACGTACATATGAGCGTACATATGTATGCTTGTACGCTTTATGTTAATTGGTACAATGGCTGCCAGGCTCCTCTCAGTGTCCACGTTAATTCAAAAATGGCATTGAAATTGCACTTGGAAATAAATTCGCAGTCACCATGTACTATGTCTATTTTCTTTTTCTTATGCATCAGCTTGCATACTGTAAGTAGCATAGTTGAAGTGCATCCATCCATACACACATTGTAGACACTTGTAAATGTACATGCGTACACTTGTTGTTAGCTGATTAAGTTAAGTGACATTTTGAGAAGTTTTTGCTATTTCTCTTTTGTTTATTTAATGATTATTATATTATTTTTTTTGTGAAAGTCTAGCACATTATAAATCCATATTTCACTTTATAAATCCATATTTCAAACTTTGGACAAAAATTCAAGAAACTACTAATTAAGCCCAAAGTTTTCAAACTTTTTATTCAGAATTTATAGAAAAATTATGCAGATAAAGTGCAAGTTTCAAGACGCTAGAAAACAGCGTTGATTTTTAATATTTTTTTTTTGTATGCTCTTTTATATGAAACAAAATGCCTGCACCGTCAGCAAAAAAATAAATTTTGTGCAAAGTATGAAACATAAAAAAAATAATAAACATTAAGTAAACAAAACAAAAACAGCCAAAACTGGCTGAAATTTGATTGGCTAAGTTTAACCAGCCAACTCGAGCGTTTAAACTAAGTTTAAACTCCAGCCAAGCACCCAAAAACTGGCCCTTAATCAGCTGACCACAAGGGTATGTTATCTACATACGTACATACATACATATACAAAGCAGATTCATGTTAAATAAGTTGAGAAGTTGAAAAAATAAAAAAAAAAAAACGGTGTCAAACGCGCGGGTATACAAAGTTTTTCAATGCAAAAAGGAATTCAGTGAACTCAAGCAATGTTGAAGAAAAACCGAACGCATAGCGGAAGCATTGAACTTTCACACAAATATCTACCATTTTATTTCCTAGAAACCTTTAGGCGCATGTTTAGATAGTATAGTAGCTGTGCTTGTAATTTATTTATTTATATACATACATACATATGTATGTATGTGCCCAGTGTGCATATTGTTTTAATTTTTTTTCTGTGCAAGTGAAAAAAAAACACCTAAAGGCGGATCTCCATAGCATGCGTATACGCATGCGTGCGTTTGACAGAAAAATTGAATAAACAAATTTGTATGGCAGCTCCTACATACAGTTACTCCCAAAAAACCAAAAAAAATTTTGTTAATTTTGTATTAAAATATGGCTTATATTTTAGCAAACTCCGTTTAAATCCAAGAATGATACTGTGTTCAAAAATTAAGAAAAATCTGCAAAGTTTCAGCAAAATCGCGAACTTTTTAATACGAATTTCTAAAAAGAATTCAGGTATGCGGGGTTTATAGCCCATTAAATCGCGTTGATTTTTGAGATTTTTTTTTGCTGACTATCCTACGCATTTTTTCCATATAAAAAATTTTCAGAATTTTATTTTATACCTATGCGAAATTTGCACATTATTATACAAAAATTAAATTAAAAAAAGTAGCATTTTCATAGCCCTGTTAGTATGCATAATAAAATTATAGTTTAAAAAACTAAAACCTCCGTATTATATCTAATTGCCATTCGTACTGTCATCAGGTATGTAACTTGAGAATAGAAATCGCTGCATCTTTTAGGCGCATCAATATTACATAGTTACATTCCGAGCTAATAAAAGGAAGGTAAAAAATAAAACGTCAAATAATAAAATATAAACATTTTGCCTTTGACCGACTATAACTCGACTTTTTTAATTTTTTTTTTAGGGTTTATGTAAAATTTTGTCAGATTTTTGGAATAAAAAAAATTAAGTTTTTCAAATCCATAAAAATTTGTTTAAAATTTTGAATATCTTTATTTTGTACGTAGAACAATTGTGGAACTTATTTGACTGACTTTTGGATGTTTTTCAACCCCGGTGGGCTATCCTGACCGCCCAACATTTTGGATATCAAAATTTCTTTCGTGGAATTTCTTAAACCCGCTTAGGCCCTGACGTTCTATTGTATCGCCACCTTAAACTTGACACAATTTTCGTGACCTGAAGCACAAACGGCCAGCTGTTGAATAACATACAAAACAAAAAAGCTATGCATGCATAGTTCCAGTGCTGCCAAATCTATACAGACACCAGCTGTGGCAAATATGCGCGATGACTTTTTACTCATTGCACTATTTTGGATTTTCGTATAGGGCTTTTTACAAATACATATACATACTCATATGTATCATGAATGACATGTGACAGCATTTTCGTATTGAAATTTATTTGCATTGCCGAGCTTTGTGAGTAATTCCAATTAACCTATGACAGACCTTCAAAACGTTAATATAAAAATATTTGATACTCGTACAGTTTTTCAGATTCAAATGTTATTAAAATAAATATTTGGCGCTAACATTTTTATCAAGTGTTTGATCGAGCTTCTCCAATTTGTGGTATGCGTCTTGATGTTGTTACACAAAATGGCGGAAGTACCATTAAAGCCGCCTCCGAATGGTTGGTTTCATAAGAAGCTTTTTCAAGGCATAAATACGCTCGAGGGTCGACCGGTGTCAGAAAAAACTTTTCTTGGACCAGGGTTCGAACGTACGTACATACATACATACACACACACACATAGGCTCTAACGAGTAGTAGTACGCACCCCTAACCAATCGGCAACTTTCATTCCTTTTTGATTAACATACATATGTACATAAGCATGTACATACATATATATGAACATATTGTTGTAGTAATAGAAACGTTTAGTAGGTTTTTTAATTTACTACATATTTACATACATATGTTATAAAACATCTACTACCCACTGGTCAACTAAC